CGGAGCGAGCACCTGGCTTGTCGTCCCCACCCGCGGAGCTTAGTAGACCCCTCACTCAGATTCTAAACTTGACAAGTTTTGAGATTGGAGATGAGCGGTGGCCTCGCAGTCGGGAGTTGCAAAGGGCGGGGGATGAGGCACGGCCTAATGAAGGGGAGGATGTGCTTGAGCAGCCCGCGCCCTCGTTGTGGACGGGGGAGGATGCGGCGAGGCTTGTGGCTGCGCTTAACGAGGTGCAGTCGAAGGCAAGGTGAGTGCCAGTGTGGTCTCTTTCTGCCAGTATTCTGGTCAATGGAGCACTTGTCGGCAGCAGAACGCCTGCTCAATGTGGGTCCAGGTGCATTGTGCTTATGTTATGTTTCATGAAATAGGTTCATGTTCCTAAAGCTGTGGGTCAGAGATTGCTCCAATGAAAAAAGGGTTTCAAACTGCACAGAAGCTAGGTGTTTTCATTGAATGTGAAGTCGGAGTGTTTATAGGGCAACATCCTACCGGCAATGCTTGGCTTTGAAGCTACTGTCTTGTTTTGTTGCGTGGTGAAAAGCATCTGATTTGGTGTGGAAAGCTTGGAGGAAGAGTTCGCAGAAGTGTCACTTTTCTGCTCTGAGTCTCCGCCAACTGCCACAAGGTTTGGGACCTCTTATGGAAATGGCAAAAAGGACGTCCTACCTGCAGGGTTCTCGGACAGTGGGTTGCGTCCCAGCTGAAGTCCTGATTTATCATCGCGATCAGACTCTCCGGTGTTCTTTGGTCTGACAACCTCTTAGGACACGGGAGACTCCACCATTGGAACACGAGTGATCATAAACCTCAACAAGGGTTATTAAGTTGGCCCTAGGGGTTTGCCGCAACCAACTGTCGTCTCACAAATGAACTCCCCGAATGCACCAAAGGAATTCATGATGAACCTATGAAAGGGCACTGAAGTTCTGCAGCAGCTACCAGGGGAGACTGAAAAGACCCTCATCCTTCAACTGAAAACAAAAGATGCTTTCTACGGACTGTATCCTCTACGGACTCATATGTTTGTCATGTCTGTTCTAACAAAGCTTCCCCATCCTGCAATATATGCAAAGAGCATCAGAAAAACCAAAGCTTCCTCATCCGACACTAAATGCAAAGAGCATAAAGAAGGCAACCTCGATGACCTTGTTAGATCCTTATAAAGGCTTTGCCCACACAGCTACTTGCAAGTTTGTGCAGCAACTTCAAGTTTGTAATTCTTGCACCTCTTACATGGACGGGACTCCAGCCAGTGGCATATTTTTTGATCACGCTCACAAACCAAAAGGATATTTAGACCCTCGATAGAATGAGCTAGTACGTCATTGCCAAGGAATGTGTGTTCATGGCAACCCCAATTCAAGGATGCACATAGCTGCCAATTTCAGTAGCTCTTCAACGTCTTTACAGGGACAGGTATGCCATTCCCAAGAAAGGCGCAAGAGCACATTAAGGGGCTCAGCATACAGAAGCAACTAGTTCAGCTTTCCAGACGCGTAGAGACACAGCAACGAAAAACGAACAGAGCTTCTCCGTGTCAAATGCTAATGCACAGCATTTGACGCATCTTCTTGAAATGATCCAGGCCCTGATGACTAAGTTGCGGGTGTGTCACAGTGCTACTGATGCATAGTGCAGCTTAATCAAATTCAGCTTACTCATACCCTCCTTGGGGTCTTTCACTCTAGTTTGGCATTACCAAGTCATGTACTATCAAAAAGCCTTTCGCTACTCAGCTTCTATCAAGAGGCAAAAGTAGGTGCAGAAAAACATCAACAGAGGATTCTTTGTGCATGCCCAAGGGGAGTGTAGCCAAGGCAACAGCCAACCATGTAGCAATTGATACTGCTGCACTTCAAAAAGCTTCTGAACTAGATACCAGGGACAATACTGCGAGATGGAGAACTATTCACGTACCTTCCCGTCCCCTATGCTCACAAAATCGTCCCTACAGCCTTGTACACCTCACATGCAAGTTGATAGCTTCAAGAGACGGGGAGCAAACTATAATGGGTAAAATACGTAATTGAATCAGTTGAACGCGTAAAGATACAACACGCAGTGCCAAGATACGGGACTGATCAACTTTCCAGCAGCTTGCGACAATGTTGATATGGAATTGGCTCAAAATTTGACAGAAGCTCCGCCTGTGCCTCCCCTTGGACACTCTTCCAAGCTACTTGTCCGATGCTATCCCGTTGTTGTGCTTCCCTAAGGAACTTCAAGGAGAGCCCATGGTCCATGGAACACCTCACCGTCAATCATCCTGGTTGTGCTGCATCACCAACAGTAGTAGCCTACCGTATACCTGCTCAGTGCAGTCACGTGGCCCGCAATGGCGCCCTGCTGGGGCGATTCGGACGCTACATTCGGACGCACACATTCAGGATTTAAACTCGAGAGTGCAGTTGTTGGACGCTGTCCTCACTTTTGAGCGTCGGCCTCATCCGATCGGACGGTCCGATTCGACCTCTGGCAAATGATTGAGGGTCAATGCGGACGGTGCGTCCCAGACCTTCATATAAAGACTCGGTCTTCCTGCCTAGTTCTAGGCTTCTAAGTTGTAGTTCGACCGCCACGCTTGAAATTTATTTGTAACTGCAAGGAAGAAAGGGCAGGCTTTCAGGCCGCCATCAATCTACAACGTTGTTTCAGAGTCTGTCCTTTGTGGAACCCTTGAAATCTAAGGAGAACCGATTTCTCATATAAGGGCCACAGGCGTCACTACGGTGATTACAGATTGGCCAAGCAGTCCGGTCAACGTTCGTGAGACTCCACCAAATGTCACCCAAAAAGAAGTGCGAATCCCAGCGAGCAATTCTGTAACATCAACAAAGCTTTCGGCTCTACATTTGCCTTGGCCTATTTTCAAACTGCAAGGTCTGAGCTTCTGTGCCGAGGGGGCGCCAATCGTATATGTGGAGAATGTCAGGATCGTCTGAAGCAGCTTCGATTGATCATTCTTGTTAGTGCTATCGGTCTGTAAAGTGCATCGTGGCCCTGTTACAATTGTTACTTTGGAAAAGCTGAAGAGAAAGGGGGTGTCCTGAAGGGCTCCGTCAAGCAAGAACGGGGGTTGAAATTCGACAAGGCCAAGATGGGGATGTTGGAAATGAATGATCGAAAAAGTGAGCGATGCAGTCAAACCCAGCTCGTTCCGAGTTCCTGCGTTGTTTATCTAGCTACTTAAACAAGAGTTGCAGATGCGCCCTCCTTCGACTTGCTATCTGCAAGCCTGCTCCTGCCTCAAAAGTTTGCGAGTCAGTCTTTGGTTCAGTGCAGATTGAAGCTTGCTTCCGGACTCTTTTGCATGTCGTCATATAGAACAGTCTGCATCTTTGATTCCTCACCACCTTGCTTGTTCAATGCTGTTTCAAATAGTAGAGCTTTTGGTCTTATTGCAGAAATCGGTCTTGGCTTGACGGGCTTCGGGGTACTCTTTACGTTCCTCGGGGTCATCTTCTTTTTCGACAAGGGCCTCCTGGCCATGGGAAACGTAAGCAGCCACTGTAATGTGGGCATTTCGCCCAGTCTTTTCGGCAGCTCAAATTATGGAGAACTAGTCTTCTCGCAATGGCCACTTGTATATGATGAAGCACCTTCCCTGTTGTTTGAGATTAGGGTTTTGATGCTTCTCATGAAGGTCACGCTCCGGTTAAAAGCTCTAACTTCCTTTGTCGTGGTGCAGATTCTCTTCCTCTCTGGTATGACTCTAACTATCGGCTTCAAATCGACGTGGAATATATTTCTGAACAAGCGGAACCACAGGGTGAGTTACAAGGGCGATTGCGACTTTCTGTGCAGTCCATTTTTAGACCAGGACACGGGCTGCTAGATTTTTGTGCCATCGCTCTCACGCCAAACTTGTCGCTGCAAGCATCTGAGGAAGGAGACCCCCGATCATACTTGATTCCCTTGTGGACCCCTCTCCTTTCTAGTTTGGTCCTGAGCTGGTGAACAAATAATCATCAAAATCTCAGTTAGGGGCTGCCTAGAACTGTCTATACTCAAAATTGCCTCTGCAAGTTCGGACCAAGTTCGGGCACGTGTTTCTGAGCATCTGAAGGGGGGGTGGGTTGAATGAAGGAGTGTTGCACCCTGCACCTCTTTACCTGGTTCCAACAGAAGTTGGTGAATACCAGTAGGGAAGCAATTCCGCCCTCAAGCTCACTGCTGCTCATGTGTCGCTCAGTGTGTACTCGTGCTTGCAGGGTTCAGCAGCATTCTTAGGGGGCCTCTTTCTGGTACTAATAGGATGGCCCTTCATCGGCATGATTGTGGAAGCATATGGGTTCATCTATCTGTTCAGGTCAGTATCCTTTCTTTCTTAGGCCACCGGTGATTTGCAGCAAGATCACTTGAGATTCCTTTGGCAAGAAGAGTGAACCAATAAACCGAGAACCATTAGCGTTAAAGATAGACTCTAGAAGACTGAAAGGACATCAGCGGCGCCTCGGGGCTCAAGTTTGTCAGCTCGGCATGGCCACCTTCAAGGGAGGAAAAGCCCTTGAGCGTGGTTTTCCGGGACCTCCCGCGTTTCCAGTCCTCCCGCCTTGCTCACAAAAGGGTTCGTGTTATCAAAGTTTGGATCTACTGCACAGGGAAACGCCTTGTGGATATGTTGACGGTCTGACAGGCTCCCTTGCTTCTGCCGATGGCACTGCTCCACTACCATCAGAAGTCTGTCCCCTTACACGCTGCGTCCTGATCTTGCGCTGTACTGCCGGTCAGTATTTGTCAATTCGATCAAACCGTTCAGATCAGTTACATAGCTTGAATTGTTTCCGTGTTCTGTTCAGGAACCATGCTTTAACCAAAGGTTTCTACCCTGAACGCTTATGTGTCCATTGCTTGGGAAGTGATTCTGAAGTGACTTGATAGGGACCACCACTGTTTTGCAGTGGTTTCTGGCCAACCGCTCAAATGTTTTTGCTACGGGTTCCTGTCCTAGGGTGGATTTTGAACCAACCGTTCTTCAGACAGGTCAGTCGACAAACCTTGTAAACCTGGCCTACTCGGATCTGTTTCGATTCTCCACGCCTGGCTACCTGCTCTGATGTACTCTAATCTATAAGCCGCGGTGGTTCTACCCTGATACAAACTTGTCAGCAAATCACTCGCTTTGTGTTGGTAAGGTTGACTTCTTACTGTCCCAAGAAGTCGGCCGGCCTCACTTACTTTCAGAAACTGTGGGAGAGAAAAGTCTGATGGGCTTTCTGGGATCGGGCTCACCTGCAAGTGCAAGTTATTGATTCGAATGCTTCGTTGTTGCTCTGCAGTTTGGCATCAGAAAACAGGAGAGAGTAACAGTTTGACTCTGCACCGTATGTGGTGCCGACACATGGATCGTTAATGTCATCCGACCATTCATTGTTGCCTGATATCATGGCCAACTAGTATTGCAACGAACACCCCCCGAGCACAAGCGGGATCATGCATCTATGGTTGCAGATCGGCACTGTCAAATACAGAATGAATGGATGGCTACGTGGACACATTTTGCATCGAAGTTGCGATCAGTTGTCGCATTTCTTGAGTTGTGCTGCTTAGTCCTTTGCTCTTTCCAGTCCTTAACATGGAGCCGTCAGCTCCACTACAGCGCCCCCGACTCCCTCCCAAAAGTGGGGTATCTTATTGCGAAGTCCTTATCGACTCTTTTACCATTTCAGAAGCAGATTCTGTCAATGAAAGGCGGATCGTGGGGGAATTTACATCTGACAAACTTGATCAGATGGGATTGACGTCATTGACCATTATATTGTTTAATGGCAGAACTAGGTACAATCGCCACAGTGCGTTCAAAATAATGACAAACTTGCAAATTGCCCTCCTATTCGAGTGGCAAAACAAGTCAAATCATATATGCCAGTTCGTTGGAATTACAATGCATATTTACTTCTAGCTTATTAATGCTCTACTTTACTATGTGCACAAGCATCACAATGATTCAGGTATCTTTCTTGGTCACCTCAAGGTATGCTGGCAATCAAAGCTGATGTTGGTACGGCACAATACTAAGGCCCAATCCCAAATTTTACTATCCTCCAATTGGGTTGGGGGTTGCATGGTTGCTTTAGGAGGGGGTAATGTCCTACATAGGGAAATACTCCTTCCCTATTTGAGTCGCGCAGTTAAACCCAAGAACAAGCTGGAGGAGCCGCGCGCGCGAGCTTGGCGGGTACGTGCACAACTTCGGACCGTCTTGTTAAGCGATTCCGGGTGCCACCGTTCGGAAATGAGTAGGGCTAACATGATATACGTCGGTATCATTGCAGTTAGTGCACGGATATGCATTCTTTAGTTCGTCTGATCCCGAGCGGGCAGCCTGCTTTTGTCAGACTATTGGGCCACAAATGATGTCGAGTGAATGCAGAGTTTACTTATGTGTACTGGTACTAGTCAATCTATCGAGGTCAATGTACAATATGTGAGTTTTGATGGACGTACCATGCAAGTTCTAAAATCTCTGCACCTGCATACATGTTGAATATGGTATGTGATACGCACAACTTGGCAGTGGGTGCAAGCGTCAATGTCTTGACTATAATTGGCTCTGGTGCGCTGCAGAGCTCTTGACTGTATTGTGCCGGTCTCACCACTTCGACCCCATAGCTTTTCTTGGCTATCAGGCTTCCAATGACAAGTGACCATGGACACAAACCGATTCACTTGTATTTTGAAGGGAGTCTAAATTATATCCAAAACCTGCGAAAATATCGTCCTCACACCGGCTCCTCTTCGGAGTCCTTAAAGAAATCTCTTTTCCTTTTCTTTGCGCGAATCTCCGCCAGCCTCTCCTTATCAATCTGTTGTCGAGCTTCCAAGAACAATTCTTCGAACCCTCCTTTCCCCTCTGTATACCAGTTTAAAAAAGCTTTACGATCTGGGGTCTCTGATATTGTCTGGGGGTGAGACATCGTCGCCACTAGATCCTCTTCGCCCATCTTAGTGGCAATCTCAGCTAGTCCTAAAACATCAACGCTTCTCCAACTCGATTTTGCCAAGTTGAAATTGCCCGTGTATACAATCTCCCTGTATAAAAAGACAGCACCGGAGGAGAACTCCTGCAAACAAGTTACAAGATTCTTGGACCCATCCTCGTTCTTTTGCAAGGTCGTGCTTCCATCGAAATAGCGCTCCCACTCAGTACCGGACCTGGTTTCTAGCATGAGCCTATGAAACGGTATGTCTTTGCCATCGCTTGTCTTCATAATGCAGTCTGCCGAGCGCATTGCCACGTCGGTCAAAAGCGAGTGCCGACTGGGAGCAAAAAGAAGCGCCTCGCTTATGATCAGATGACCTTCTACGATCTCTCTACCTCCGCTTATATCATCCTCATCCCGGGAGAGCGCTCTGGTGTGATGCTCGCCGGCATCAGCTGCAACATACTTCTTTACCACCCTGCCATTGACAAAGAACTCAGGATGAAACATGACAGATACTGGAACCTCCCCCCAGCTTAACGTCGACACACCATGACAAAGGACATCCGCTGTTAGAAAATACTCCGAATACTCGCCTTCCCCTGTTATTTCTAAAGTGATTTCGATCTCAGGATCGACAGAAACTATCTTCTTGACTTCCGCCTTCACAAACTTGTTATCAGAAGGACCAAGGGTCGTTGGAAACTCAAATGTAAAAGGAACCAGCGAAGAAGAGGCGGTGGAAGGAGGCGCCATCACTGCCGCAAATCTAGGTGATGAAAGAATTTGAATGAACAGGGGAAAAAAGCTGCTCCCTTCTTGACTGAACTTCCGTCGTTAATTCAAAAGCATGGGTTGGCACTGTTGCAGGGGCGCAGCGCAGCCTGGTCAAAAGCTGGAGAATCCTTTTAGAGCCAATCCTTTCCTCTGCAGTCCTTAAAAACTCAAAGGTTGCCAAGAAGTGGTGTGCGAAACAATTGGATGCTTGGATGCTTTCCCCCCCTCGGCCCCTTCCCCCCTGATACACCTCTTGTCCCCCTCCCTCCCCTGGCGAACAGGTTGCTACAGCACGCCTCGACTGTTACAAACCATTTTTGGCAAAAGTAAATCAAAGATTATCCTGAAACCCTCCGTCGCACAAACCATTTTTGGCACCACTGCAGGCTCCTGACTTTCTTCAGCACTGTGCCACTTACGGCCCACCAAGGTTTCCAATGCCGCTGTATCGAAATCGAATATGACTACAACCGTTACTAGAAGCGACGGGCTCAGCGAGAGGAGACCTGTCGCGACCACAGTAAGGCTTAGTTGCTTTAAATACTCCGGGAGGACGACGGGCGCTACCACGGCTTCGACGACGACGCCTTGAACTTGAAGCTCTCCCCAAGAAGTCTGTCTCGTCTGCCCCATGCTCAGGCTCATGCAGCGCCACACTCTGTTGTAAACCTTGCAGGAGTCAGGGTAGATACAGCGTCTTCAGTCGCCTGTTCGGCCCAGGGGCATCAAGTTGAGTCGAGTCGCCCTGCCACCCCACCTCTGTTTACTCAGGAGCAGCCATGAGTGCCGACTACCTACAGATGCAGGAGCCAGTGCGGCTGGCGTCCATTCTTGAGACGAGTCGTCAGGTGAGTGGGGTGGTTCTGATCAATGGCGTCGGAAGAGGGTTCCTGGCAGCTGAAGGATCTAAGCAGTTGTTCGTAACTAGGGCTCAGCGCAAACCCCAATTGCTTCTTCAAGGAGAGAGATCTAGGGCGTTGTGTGTCTGCTTGAACCTTTACTCGATAATAGATCTCTTGTCCGCCAGCCTTGTCCCATGTTCTTACAGCATTTCAACTCCATCCCGCATAAGCAGAATGTTGTTCTGTAGATCTTGGAAGTCCAATGCAACCACAGCATTTCCAAGAGTCCAGTA